CCTTTATAAATAGTAGTGCCTTTCAGAGGGGAGGTTGGGAGTGAAGAAGTTCAATTGCATTTAGATCTGCAGATACTGCAGTATTTTTTCCTTAGGGTTAAGATACCTTTTAAATGAAAACAACTGAATGTAGGATGGGACCAGGCATTTTTGGGTATTGAACTCAGCTATCCCAAAATTCATCCTTTCTTGTTTCTGCCCCATTGATAAAATGGAATTTGGGGAGATGGAGAAAGAGCATTAATCTCTTAAGAATGTTTAGGAAAATGTCCTAGTTGACGCATTTATAAAATATTTTTGATTTCTCTGAAGTGCTACACACTGCCACTGCTAGAATTTTATTGACAATAACTTTGAACATTCCAGTTTCCCACGGTCATATCTTTGGATACCATTTACAGACTTCTGAGATTAAACGCTGTAAATTGCTTTTCATTGGAAGTTCTAGTTGCTCCTCGTCTACATGTTATTTGGTCTTAGCTTATAATTTCCACCTTGTCTACAGAAAAGGGTTAGGAGAGCTGATGAGGTTTATAAACTGTTTTCTCTAGTATTTCTTATGGCAGACATAAGAGTCTGATGCCTTCCAAGACAGCCAGCCATTCCCTTCTCTTCCCAAGCTATATGCTCTGGGGAAAAACTGAACAAAGAAGATCACAGTTACTCTCCTCACTGGGAGGGCAGATGTAAGAATTAAACACCTTCCCATGCCACAATCCATTCCTTTAGAGTCTCACCAGAGTCTGCTAGAAAAGGCAAATGGTATGCCTAGGGGTTGGGGGGTGCAGAGATGAATTGGACTTAGAGACAGAAAGCTTTGGCTCTGGTCTTTCAAGACTAGTTTTCTCTTCTCCCCAGATCTCCGTGCCTGGGAGCCACTCACTACTTCTTTTCTTGCCTATCTGGAAGAACATGGAAATTTAGATCTGTGAGAATATGAGGGAGAAAATGTGGTAAAATGAACAGTGGTTATTTTTCTGTGCTAATTGAAATTTCCTCCTCTGTACCTGATAGAGGGGAAATCCATCAAACACAAAGGGTCTGTATAGTAGACAAAGTGCCCACTCATCATGTCCTAGGATATCCCTAGGATAGCCCTGGGTGAATTTTAAGGAATGTAAACCATATTCCTTTCTTGCCTGGGTAACATTCCAATGGAGTCTGGGTTAGGCAAACATACATAAGCTTTCAACAGATTTATTTGTAAAAAGCACCTCATGATTTTTCTTTGTTATTTAAACTCTAAATACCTTTAGGGGAGGAATTTTTAGTTCCAGGGTAGACTAAGGGAAAGCTCACATAGATTCCACCAACAGAAAGAAGGTAAGATGATAACAAGTACTTTCTGGAAACCAGAAGGCTCTCACTGTCTCGTTCATTTGAAAGAGTTCAAAAGGGCTGAAATCTGTCCAGAGACTTAGATGTTTTGGTAGGAAATGTTTTTCATGAAAAACATATATGGAAATAGGAAACAGAAATAGTATATGGCCATATTTTTTACAAAAGACATTTTCCCTTATTTTTTTTAAAATATAAGTTGAAGTTATAGGAGAATATAGTCATTCTACAGTGCTTTAATCTGTAAGTTATACTAATTAAAAACCTAAAATTAACACTCCCAGGGCTATTGTCTTTTCCTATCAACCTGTTTGCTAAGGAATTCCAAGCTGTGGTCAGATCTAGTTTTTAACCAAATGACCAACTAATAATTTTAGTCAGATAGACCTTTCAGTGAAAGGGGAAGAGCAAGAAAATGTGCAAATAGTAAGTATTGGAATTCTGAGCATATTTAACCAAGTCAATTTGCCAGTCCAGGGATAGGAGTTGTATCAATTCCCAACCTCCATCAGAGACTAAGTCCAAATTCTGGAGTCCCTGCAGACCGCTACTGTGACCTCAAAGACTGTGGCTACGAACCTGAAGTTAACAAAGCATTTGTCTTCTCCTACTAACTGAAGCCATATCTATCACCTCTGTATTTGATTTTTTTTAAAGCCCTGGTGCTTTACTTCTGTGTCTGCCAAACTTCAGACTACTCTGTGGGGAAGTAACTGGAAGAGGGACAAACAGACAGACTGTGAAAACTATATACACCCTTGAGAATGCTATTTATGCAGAGAACAACATCAACTGAGGGCAAACTGTTGGAAAATATGGATATGTGTACATCTGTACATGTATATAGTGTATCATATGTATGTATATGTTATTGCTCATATGCAGAAATCTATCCATTTGCAGGCAGCCCAGGTGGGTCAGTTTTTCTACTGGAAAACCATTTCCGACCATTCAAAACCATTAGGGATAATACATCAAGAATTCTACTCACATGGGAATTAATGTGCTGTCTTTTGAAGTCCACATGGCCAAACAAACAAATTATGAAACATTTTGGGACCGTTATTAATGTGATTCTGTTTACTCTGAAGTCTACATTTGGATTCTTTTGTGTGTGTGTGGTTTGTTTTTGTTGTTATTTTGTTTTTGTTGTTGTTGTTGTTCTGAGACAGGGTCCCTCAGTTCAGAAACTCACTCTGTAGACCAGGCTGAACAGAGATCTGCCAGCCTCTACCTTCCAAGTGCAGAGATTAAAGGCATGTGCCATCACGGCTGACCTATATTTGAATTTTAATATCTGATTTGTAAACTGAGCCCACACTTCTTGGTTTTGAGTGATTCCTTCCCCCAACGTCTTTTGAGAATTTGTGGTGGGCTCCTCTGGCCTTATCTATAAGTGGACAGGTTTCCCCATAAGGACCATCACACATATACATATAAATACATACTTCCATCAGGCTTGTAACAATTGATTCAAAATAATTCCACAGTATTGGTAAATAGCTCTATATTTTCAAGGTGCAGAAGAATTCCACAGCCTTAATTATTTCAGTGTCTTGCTGGTCTGCCTTAAGTGTATCTTCTGGGGTTTTGGGTTTTGGTTGTTTTATTATTTTAAATTTCCCTGCAGTTGTTCATTTTGTATGCACACAGTGTTGTTTTGTAAAGGTAGGTTGTAAATATTTTATTTGTAAGTCAGAATCACTCATGTGTAATGTTGTAAAGTGCCGACCTGCTGTCTTGTTATTACTGCAGTAAATGTTATAAGTTGTGGATGAAGTTTCCAAATGTACATTTCACATGTTATGCATTCCTATAAATATAATATACTGATGATACTACTTTTAGTCGGCTTCCCCCTTAAAAATGTTATAACATTTGTGTGTGTGTGTGTGTGTGTGGTGTTTGAGTCACAGTGTGTGTGTAAGAAGACAATCTGTAGGAGCTGATTCCCTCCACCATGTGGGTCCCTTAGATTGAACTCAGGTCATCAGGCTTGGTAGCAAGGCCCTTTATCCATTGAGCCATCTCACTGACCCTCATCTTTTCTTTCTAAAACTCCTGTCCTTCCCCCACAACCCTCCATGAGTAATTTTTTCTCTCTTCCTCCTAAATATTGGAAAGTTTTTGCAAGTTTTAAAAAAGAAAAAGTCCCATTAGTGGCCCAGCAGGATGGCCCAGCAGGTAACAGTACTGTTGCCAAGCCTGAGGACCTAAGTTTGATCCACAGGACTGCACAGTAAAATGTGAGAATCAACCCCAGCTGGATCTCACAGATAGGAGTCCAGAGAGGGAGAACCTATACAGGCATGATCAGGCTTTCAAAGACTCCAGGTGTCCCACAGGTGGGAATGAGGTGGATCTATAGTTCCCAGTCAATTAGCAGCATCCAGAGATGAAAGTTGTTTTGATTTGGCAATAAGAACATGTTTTAACATTTGGAGTATATTTAATCAAGGTTTTATTGTCTTTACTGGTAATGAAAAACAACAGTCAAGTTTTTACTAGATGTGGTGCTGAATGCCGTTAATTCAAGCACTCAAGAGGTAGGGGTGGGTGGATGTCTATGAGTTTGAGGGCAGTCTGGTCTACAGAGTGATGTCTAGGCCAGCCAGGGCTACATAGGGAAACCCTGTTTCAAACACAAACAGGGATATATGGATTTTTCACACTGCAAGTTCAACAAAATCTCCTTAGAGAAACAAAGAATACAGAAATTAAATCTCACAATTGGTTTGATAAGTAGCATTGGGGTATATATTCTTTAAAATAAGACAAATCTAGCCTTAAGGGGTTGTATTATTATTATTGACACACTCTCACTAGTCACCCAGATCAGTCTTGAATTTGAGATCTTCCTGCTTCAGGTTCCTAAGTAGCTAGGGCTACAGGACTGCACCACCATAGTCAGCTAAGTGATTTGTAAACCAAATATGCTTCCAGATAGCCTGACACTATCAGTTCATCCTAACACACACACACACACACACACACACACACACCACACACACACACCCTTCATCCTGAGCACTTCAAATGGTCTAAAGGAAATAAGTTCGTTTCTCTGCCAGCACCAGAGTGTACAATGACCTGCTTATATTTCTTTTCTCTCCCTCCCTCCCTTCCTCCTTTCCTTTCTTTTTTGGTTTTTCAAGACAATGTTTCTCTGTGGCTTTGGAGCCTGTCCTTGAACTCGCTCTGTAGACCAGGCTGGCCTTGAACTCTCAAAGATCAGCCTGCCTCTGCCTCCCAGAGTGCTGGGACTAAAGGCGTGCGCCACCAACGCCTAGCCTGCTTTACATTTCTATGTGCAAATTTCTCCCCAGCGCCGGCAGTTATGAAGTTAGTTCAGGAAGGGAGTCACAAGCCCTGTCATAGAGAACTTTTATTTTATATGGAGAAACCCTGGAAGAGTTTAGGGAAGCGGTGGCTAACAGCGATAAGAAAATTACTATGATAATTATAAGACAATTGCTGAAGGAAACGCTAAGCTAAAAAACAAAAACAAAACCTCCGAGCAGGGCCTACAGACTCCCTCCGGAGAAGCTGAGCATCAATTTAGCCCACGGATTCAAAGTCCAGCGCTCCAACCAGGAAGCTGCTAGCACAAGCGCAGACCCTCGCGGTCCAGGCCGGAAGGGGAGGCGGAAGAGGCGGGGCTTCTGGATGACGTCACGGGCCCCGAGCGGCTTGGCTCCCAGAGCGAACTGAGCGCGCGAGAATGGCGGTGGTCTCCGAAGCACTGGGCCTCCTGGTCACCGAGCTGTACGACGTGCAGGCTTTCAAGTTCGGGAGCTTTGTGCTGAAGAGCGGGCTCACCTCCCCCGTCTACATCGACCTGCGGGGCATCGTGTCCCGCCCGCGTCTTCTCAGTCAGGTGCCAGCCCGGAGGGACACGGTGGCTCCGGGTGGCGGGAAAGGAGAGCAGGAGGTAGCGGGTGTGGCCGGAGGGGCGAGGGAGAGCCACAGACCAGGCAGGCGAGCGCCCCACGCTCCTGCCGGCCCGGAGAGCCTGTGGAGGAGCACGGCGGCCGGCGGCCGGCGGTTGGGCTCCTCCGGACCTGGTTCTTGACCCACGCGTGTCGACACGTGCTTTGCGGGAGTCGGGAGATATGGGTCTCTGGCGGGCGGAGAAGTCCTTGAGTGAGTCCTGTGTGCTTAACCCCCAGAAAGTGAGACTTAGGGAGGAAAGGAAAAGGCGGGAGGATGGAGAAATTAGTAGCTGGTCAGAGGACTCAATTTAGTAGTATGTGGTCATTAGCAAGGAATTAAAGCCATATGGTGGACGCCAAGAAGGCAGAATTTTTTTGTTTGGTTGGTTTTGTTTTTGTTTTGTTCTGTTTTTTGGTTAGTGGGGTAAACTGTACCCGTTAGAGGTTTCTAACCCGGTGCTTCTCAACCCTTGTGAGGGTTATGTGTCAATTGCCACATACGTGGGCCGTTAGATGATGCATTTCTAGCATAACGAGCTGCCAGCTGAACTGCATATCATTGAGTAGAAGGGTGGAAATGCTGGAAGCGAGCTACCAACTCCGTGTGAATATTGAGCACCATGAAGTCTTTATTACATTTATTGTGCGTGCGTGCGTGTGTGTACGCGCTCGAGCGCGCGTGCATATAAATGAGGGCATGCGTGTGCCGTGGCAGACTTGTGAAGGTCAATGATAACTTTGAGTTCTCTCCATCCGCCATGAGGATTGAAGGGATTGAGTTCAGGTGGTCACGCTAGGCAGAAAACAGCTTTACTGGATGAGTTCATTTGCCTGCCAGAATTGTTAAAATAGCTCTGGGGAACTGGAGGCAGGAGGTAAAATGTCACTCCAGTCTGCTGTGTAAGTCGATTTGGTCAGCCTGGATTATACTGAGAACTTGTTTCAAAAGCAAACAAGCTAGCAAAATAACTAAGTTACTAGTGGCTACCCTATTGGCTTTGTAACTGCAGAATATTTTTAGCATCACAAATTTTTATCAAGACATACTAGTCAGGGATGGTGGTGCACCCCTGTAATTCCTGCATTCAGGAAGCCGAAGCAGAATTATTATGACTTTGGGTTCAGCCTAGGTTACACTGGAAGACCTTGTTTACAAACAAACCCAACCAACCAACACCACCTCCAAATGCATTCTTAGGTTCCTGTCTCATACATGTGCGGTTTGTTCCTTGGGTACCCATTTTGCTTGATTATTGTTAATAGACTGAAGCTCCCTAATTGAGCCAGCTTGAACCATTCCGCATTTCAACATCCAGAATCTTACTATGGTCAGGAAATCTTGAAAAGACCTCTCTAATGAACATTTTAAGTTTAAAAGAGGTTTATTTGAATAGGTATTCTCAGTACATGCAATCCCCCAGAAAAGTAATAGATTTTATACTTCCAACTTCCTAGTAATAAGTGATAATTGATGTGTGTACACACAAACAGTTGGAGGAAAATTACAGCATTTATTTCACTAAAAAAGGAATTCCTAAAATCTCTTCTTATACACTATATTGCAGATTTATGTTTTAGGTATCTGCCCAGGCAAATAATAATGCAAGAGAATCTCTAGCAGACTTTTTTTTTTTAACTTGGTAGTCTTAAATTTTAATTAATATACTTCTCAGTTTAGATTCATGCAAAGAAGCATGACAGATAAGTACAAGGCCACAGGAAATATTTATTGTGCTGTAATACTGTGGACATAGTGAAATTTGAAAAAAAAGATGAAACTTGCAGTTTTCAGTCTGTTTAGCATTTCTGTGTAGCCTGTATGTTACTGGGGTTTAGGTCCCAGGCTGTGAGCACGCCAGGCAAAGTGCCCTGCCACTGGACTGCCACCTAGTTCCCACATTCATTACAGATGGTATAAAAGTTCTAAACATGTTCTTGATGTTAGTACTAGAAATTGCACTCTTTGCAACTTAAAAATAGTCACCGACTTTTAAGAACACAGAAGCAGCTAGGCATGGGGTGGTATATGCCCATAATCCCAGCATGTGGGAGGTTGAGGCAGGAAAATCAACATGAGTTTGAGGCCAGTTTTGAGTCTCCAGAACAACCCCCTCCCCTCAAGAGCAATGGATGGATAGTACAAGAATAAAATATTTTAAAAAGCCAACTTGGTTAATGAATAACTCTGAGCCTTTACAAATCAAAGCCTTAAAATAAGGTAGTGTTGGATGGGAGTGTGCATTCTAACATTAAAATATGGTTGATTTGATCTGGTATAGTGGCACATGTCTTTCAAGCACCCAGGAGTCAGAAGCAGGCAGACCTGTGAGTTTGAGGCCAGTCTGGTCTACAGAGTGAGTTCCAGGACAGCCAGAACTACACAGAGAAACCCTGTCTTAAAGGCAGGTGGATCTCTGTGAATTCAAAGCCAGACTGGTATACAGAGCAAGTTCCAGAGGAGAAATCCTGTATTGGGAAACACCCCTCCTTCCCTAGAAAAATGAATGACTTATGTGGAAAAGATGAAATGCATTTCACACAATAGGCTGTATGTGTAGGAAAGTGTTCACTGCAGAATTCTTTCAGAAAGTAGAACCAGCCATGTTCTAGGGATTTGAGATCTTTGGGGTGGATCATTCTCCTGACATTTCATGTTGCCCCCAGAGTAGGTCCTGAATCTAGGTGAACTCGGTCATGGGGTTTATGTTTGCATGCCAGGTTTCACGATTGTTTCCATGGGTCTAAATCAGATGCTTAATACTTTCATGAGCTTAGATACTCAAACAGCCAATCGTTATAAATAATCCATGTATATTTTAGGACTTTTTTTCCCCCCCCTCAAAAATCGCCCTGGGGATGTTTATTTCCATCTCTATTCTGTTGCATGATTCATAGCATTCTAAGTAGTAGTAGTAGTAATGGAAGTTTATGTTCTCTATTGTTATGCTGCAGTATGTACAAAAAACTACTTGGAGATAGGAATAATAATGGGAAGTTTATGTCTTTCTTTTCTTACAGGTCGCAGATATTTTATTCCAAACTGCAAAAAATGCGGAGATCAGTTTTGACAGTGTGTGTGGAGTTCCTTACACAGCGTTGCCACTAGCTACAGTTATCTGTTCAACCAATCACATTCCCATGCTCATTAGAAGGAAGGAAACAAAGGATTATGGTAAAATAAAATAGCATAAGCCTCAAGTTAATATGTAACCTGTTAGAATTTTGTTCTTTTTCAGGCCCTGATGTTTGCTAGAGCTGTTGAAAGCTCTTCAGAGGCCTGATGAGCTGTTGAGTTGACTTGCTCCAGAAGACTTTCGTGTAGAGTCTGTGTCTGAAGTGCTTTGTGTTGGCTTGGGAGTAGAAACAGAGTGCTTGGTGAACCCTGGCCTTTGTATTGGCCCTTCCTTCATCAGCAGGATGTTGTAAGAACACATACTTCTAGATATACTTACATCTAAATATATGTAGTCAGGAAGAGGAAAATTACTCCTAGGAAACTCAGAGTGGTGGGGTCCATATCAATAGAGCATCAGGGCTTTAAAACCTGAGAATCAGTCTAAAAACATCAAGGCTGAATTGGTGCTTAATGATAATTTAAAAATTAATGGTATTTTTTGCTTGTTTATATTGATATGATAGTGCTGTGTTAGTTTTTAGAAGAGATCTTTTAAGATAAACTGCAATATCTGGGCTATTTGTCTAAAAATTGTGAGTTCAGTGAGATAGCTCAACAGGTTGAGGAACCTGTAACTAACTCTGACCTGAGTGTAGGCGCTGGGTCTCACAAGGTGGAAGGAGAGAACCTACTACTATAGGTGGTCCTTTGACCTCTTCACAAGTGCCCACACACACATATATAACATTGTGTTGGGGGGTACGTGGAATAAGAATGTAGATATTGGCCATGAGTTTCTGATTATACTATTTTAAACCTAAAAGTAAATTACCTTCCTATGAGGAATATAATGTTTCCTCCTGTGTTCACAAATGTTCATGAAACTCATCAGCGTACCTGCAAGTACTGTCTTATTTTAATCTATGATTTAGTTAAGCTCGTCAAGAAAGGGTGAAGAGAAAGGAAATGGGGATGGTGAAAGATGATTTTCTATATAGTAAGCCTCAAAAAAGAGCTAAAATGTCGCCCTATTTTGTTTCAAAATATTAGGCAGTAGGAAATATAAGAATGAGTCTCAAAAAATGAATAAGAAGCCTAGAGCCTGACTTACTTACATTTTGTAGATGGCAGTGGGGCTTAAGGGTAGAGAAATCACATTGTTTAATTATAATTATGGTGTCCAACAAGTTAAAACGTTTCCCATCTGAAATTGAGTGTTTTGCCTGCATGTACATATGTGTAGCACATGCATGTAATGCCAGCAGAGACTAAACAAGGGCATTACAGCCTCTGTAACTGCAGTTATATATAGTTGTGAGCTGCCATGTGGGTTCTGGGGACTGAATCAGGTTCTCTGTGTTCTTAACCACTGAGCCATCTCCCTGGCCCTATTTTTGTTTGTTTGTTTGAGGCAGAGTCTTGCTATATATCCTTGACGGGCTCATGTGGCCTACACTGATTGTAAGGCTCTGGCAGTCCTCTGAGTACTAAGGTAATAGGCATGTGTCACAGCTGGCTTTAAATTGCCTTTAAAAAGGCAAATTTTCAGTTGATCATTCTTTCCCATCAATATTGATTACAAGTTTATCACGATTTTATTGATGATATTGGCTTACTCTGTTTTTTCATTCTAAGTGATCTTGCTTTAAGACACTCCTTATTTGTTCAGGAAAAAAAAATAAGTATTTAATTGTAAAATAATTTTACTGTAACCTGTATATAATTGGCAATTCGGAGATACAGAGGGTACTGAACAAAACAGTTATGGCACATTGAATAATCAACAAGTTCAGAGTAGTTCAGAGCAAGTGATCATAAATAAAATTAAAGAATCTAAACTCTTTATAAGTGTATAGTAAATATATTCTCAGGCTATATCTTGAGGTAGGTAGCTGAAACATTATATATATATTTCTTTCAACAGAAGCTTTTCTGTTCTAGGCACCAAGCGTCTTGTAGAAGGAGAGATCAGTCCAGGGCAAACCTGTCTGATCATTGAGGATGTTGTCACCAGTGGGGCCAGTGTTTTGGAAACTGTTGAAGTTCTTCAGAAGGAGGGCCTGAAGGTGACTGATGCCATAGTGCTGTTAGACCGCGAGCAGGGAGGCAAGGACAAATTGCAGGCTCAGGGGATCCGTCTCCACTCTGTGTGCACATTGTCCAAAATGCTGGAGATTCTTGAGCAGCAGAAAAAAATTGATGCCGAGATGGTTGGGAGAGTGAAGAGATTCATTCAGGAGAATGTCTTCACAGCAGCTAATCATAATGGTGTTCCTCCTCCCGTGAAGAAAGCATGCAAAGAACTCAGCTTCGGTGCAAGAGCAGAGCTGCCCGGAATCCACCCACTTGCCTCAAAACTTCTCAGGCTGATGCAGAAGAAGGAGACCAATCTGTGTCTATCTGCTGATGTCTCCGAGGCCAGAGAGCTGCTGCAGCTAGCAGATACCTTGGGACCCAGCATCTGCATGCTCAAAACTCATGTCGATATTCTGAATGATTTTACTCTGGATGTGATGGAGGAGTTGGCAGCTCTGGCAAAACGCCATGAGTTTTTAATATTTGAAGACAGGAAATTCGCTGATATAGGAAACACAGTAAAAAAGCAGTATGAAGGTAAGGGCATTAAGGAATCTGGTGTAGACTGGCCACAGGGGAGAAGATGTATTAGTTCATTAGTGGGAGTTAGCCAAGGAACACAGATGCAGTTGAATCCAGGCACTGACTTGACACCTCCAACACTGTTTCTATCTCTCGGCTTTGTGTTGTCCGTTCTGCTTTCTCTGTTGACCTGTTTCTCAAGTTGGGAATTTCACTCTTACCTCTGGGTGTAAACTCCCTTCATCAGCTGCACTGGGGAATACTCCTGTTCCTGCAAGTACAAGATTCAACTCTTTTTAATCATTTTGGACTGAGATTCCTGTCAGTTCTCTTGAAAATGAGTGAGGTGCTATCAGAAGGGTACGTGTGAGTTCTAGGCAGGCAAAACAAAATGTGTTGGCCCTGACTAAAAATTGCCAATATAGGAAAGGATGAAAAAGAAATATGTTTAGCAGCATAATGTGTTGATACACTTTAAGTTTTTAATATCAGGCGAAGCAGCTTATAAGTGGCCTGTGAAATGCTTAGTTCTATAGTTCTATGTTTTTGCATTTGGACTTCTTAGAAACAAGCTGGTGGCACACGACTTTCATCCCAGTACTTTGTACTTTTATCAGCCTCCCAGGAGGCAGAGGCAGGTGGATTTCTTGAGTTCAAGGCCAGCCTGACCTATATAGAGTGTGTAGCCATGGCTGTCCTGGAACTCAGAGAAATCCTGTCTCGAAAAACCAACAAAAACAAGTGGCCATAGTAGGTACTGTGTAATTCTGATACTTAACTGTTTATGTAGCCACATGACTTGCTATTTTTAGTGCCTGCCTGTACTTGACGATTTCTCTACCTCATGTACTATGTCCCTACCATGACTACATTGCTTAGTTGAGCTTACTGGCTGAAGTAAGAGTTACATTTAACATAACCTTTCTTTAGGCATGTGTGTTGGTTTTTCAAAAATCTGCATTTTTACTATTGGTTTAAAAATGTATACAGTTGAGCTGGAGAGATGGCTCAGAGGTTAAGAGTACTTCCAGAGGTTCTGAGCAACCATCTATGAGATCTGATGCCCTCTTACAGCATGCAGGCAGAACACTATAAACATCATAAATATTTTAAAAAGACAAGGAACTTGTAGAGGGTTTAGTTGCTGAGAGATGTTTGAAAATTAGCAAATATTTTTTTTTTTTTTTAAGACAGGTTTTTTTCTATGTAACAGCTTTATCTGTGCTGAAACTTTTTTGTAGACCTAGTTGACCTCAAACTCAGACAGATCTGCCTGCTGAGTCCTGGGATTAAAGGCATGTGCTACTACTTCCTGGCTAAGAAATTTAACTCTTTTAACTGCTTGATTTTCACCCAGCAAATATCTTTTTTTATTCCTCCTTAGGTGGCATTTTTAAAATAGCTTCCTGGGCAGATCTAGTAAACGCCCATGTGGTGCCAGGCTCAGGAGTTGTGAAAGGCTTGCAGGAAGTGGGCCTGCCTTTGCATCGAGCGTGCCTACTCATTGCAGAAATGAGCTCTGCTGGCTCTCTGGCCACTGGAAACTACACTAAAGCAGCAGTAAGTGATGGGGTGCTGGGGTGAGTGTGTGCTGCATGTTCTAGGGCAGGACCTTCATTGGAGGTCTGTGAGCCCTGGCCTCACCTCTCATGCCCTTCTCTTCAACTCAGCTCTTTACAGTTGAATTTGAACTCTGATCTTGTAGCTGGTGAAGGGTTTAAATTGTACTCCAGATCATTAAGACGTATCTGCTTATGCTTGTCTTTTCATCTTGAGGCAAAACTGAAGATAGTTGAATTTTAGTTGCTCTTCACATTTTCCTATGGTAAATTTTATAGTTGGTTAGTCATTTAGAAAGTAGATAGTATTTATAGATAGTTTAAGGAACTCGGTAATGCTTAAATTACATGTCTAGTGTTTTCTTTGCCTGAATATGCGTCTGTGTACTGTGTTACTGGTGCCCATGGAAGCCAGTCGGGAGCATTGGATTCCCTAGAACTGAAGTTACAAGTGGTTGTGAGCCACCATGTGTGTGCTGAGAATAGAATCTGGATCCTCTAGAAGAGCAAGCAGCCAGTGCTCTTAACTGCTGAGCCATTGATCCAGCCTTCTATGGGAAATTTAAAACCCCATTCTGAATGGACCTTAAGTATTGGCTTCCCAGGTCTCAAAAGTAGAAGATCTAGGAATGAGGCTCAAGGGCAGACGTGAGAGAAGGCAAAAAAGCCAATCAGTCTGTTCTATCTGTGGTGAAGTAGTATGGGAATTAGGAGGCCAGTAAAGAACAGGTGCTAGGGAGGCCAGGGATAGTGCTGGAAGAACGTTGCTTAGATAAAATAGCTACGTCTTAAAGAGCTATGATGGTCTTGTATCCTTGGAGGTAGGTGAGGTACCAGGCATTGTTACAAGAATTAAACAGCATCTTGTTTGATGCATATATTGTATAAATTCTGGTCTTTTCAAGCATGGTTTATTGGAGGAAGGAGTCATCTCAGGACCTTTACTTGGGCTGGTTTTTCTGTGTTACGTGTTCTTTTAATACTGTCTATTATATCCCATGTAGGTTGGAATGGCTGAGGAACATTGTGGATTTGTGGTTGGTTTTATTTCTGGCTCCCGAGTAAGCATGAAACCAGAGTTTCTTCATTTGACCCCAGGAGTTCAATTAGAAACAGGAGGTAAGTGTGCTCCCTAGTTATAATCCGTGTTGTTTTAGTCTAGAACAGTGAACAAGCCCCTTGGCCTGGTTATCGATAGTGTGTGTACTGTGTCTATAAGACAGCTTGTTTAGTTTTAGAAAGCTATTTGGCTTTGTCCAGAGATGGGCCCTCAAACGCCTAATTCTGCCTCTTAAGTGCTGGAGCTAAAGACATGTGCTACCATGCTGGCCGGAATAAACTTGGTATTTTAGGTTAGTATTTCCTAATTGGTGCTCTGAGTTTGCCTCTTGTTCTGTGTTCTTATTCTGTGTTCTGAAAGGTTTTTGAAAGCTCTTGGCTAAGCAGATGATTTTCAGTGACTTTGAGTTCCTAAACTCAAGAGTCTCAAATGCAGGTGTAAAGACAGGCATTAAAGGCCTGGTATAGGTCTAGAGTGTGTGCTTAACTGATATGAGGCTCTGGGTTTAGTTTTGGTTGTTTTCCAGCACCTCGCCCCTGCCTGCCAACAAAAGTGTTTAGTTTTGAAGGAGTTAGAGGGGGAATTATTACTTCAGGAGTGTAGCTCAGCTGGTAGAGTGCTTGCCTAACTTGCACAAGTTCCGGGGTTCATCCCCAGCACCTCATAGAACATGATATCAAAACCTTCTGTTGGAAGAGCATGTAGCTTACAGTCAAGAACACCCTTGTGTATTTTCTGTTGAGTATTTCTAGGAACGCCTTGTAGATCGAATGCTTTCTCAGCTCTATCCAGATGATAGATTGAAGGAGTAGGAAATATGCAGGATGCAGATGATAGATTGAAGGAGTAGGAAATATGCAGGATGCATGTGTGTATTAGTTACAGCACTGGACTATTAGAATTATGTTATATAGTATTTACCACATTAGGAAAAGGAGAAAAAGCACTGCCTTTTCTTTTTACTTTAAACAATCCAGTCAGAATGCCAGTGATGCATGCACACTATGGAGTACTAAGTGGCCTTGGAAATCACCTCTTGGTTTTTAAACGCATTCTCAGCCCTTCTGTTCTAGTATCATGTATCTTTATACAGACCACTAACCATTTTTGTTTTAGACAGACTCTTAATTCAGTCCTGGAACTCCTAGATTCTTCTGCCTTCTGAGTACTGTGTTTAAAGGTGTGCACCACCATGCCTGGCTTTTTTTTTTTTTTTTCTTTTTCTCCTTCTTAATCTGTGGAGGGATTATAGTCCTAACCTTAAAATAATGGGGAGGCATTGAGATGGCATGAACAGCATCCATTTAGCATAGTGCTTACAATTCTTTCAGTAGATAACACAGTAGAGCCTCAACCCATTTAACATTTCTAGAACAACAGAAACTAATGAAACAGGGATTAGGGTCTGTTAGGTTTGATGGCAGTGTTTAATACCAGCACTAGGGAGGCAGACAGATTTCTGAGTTCGCATTATGTTAAATAGCTTTTGTTTCTCTACAGGGGATCACCTGGGCCAACAGTACAATAGTCCTCAAGAAGTGATTGGCAAACGGGGTTCTGATGTCATCATTGTAGGCCGAGGAATACTTGCAGCGGCTAACCGCCTGGAAGCAGCCGAGATGTACAGAAAAGCTGCCTGGGAAGCTTACTTGAGTAGGCTTGCTGTTTAATAAGACACTGAAAATGACTGGTGACCCACAAGTATCATGCTCTTTAATGTATAATCACTGCATTGGTATTTAAAGCTTGCTTTTGTTAAAAGTGGTATTTGTTGGCAGCCACTATCTTTCTGATTCCCCCCTTCATTGCAGTCACATCTAATGTTAGCTACCTGCTTACCTCCAGGAGCAGGAGTTCCGGTTCATTCTAAAAAGTTACAGCTTCCTCTTGTTTCATCTGGACAGCAGGCTGTTGCATCTAAGAAAACAGTAGAACCAGTTTCTGTCTTTGCTGGAGGCTTTTAATGGATGGCTCAGTGGTTAAGAGCACTATTGCTCTTCTAGAGGATTAGCATTCAGTTGCCAGCACTCACATGGTGGCTCACAACCAGTTACTAGTTCTTCTTCTAGCTTCCTTGGGCTGCAACTCCACTTGAGTGCTAAAAGGGAGAATTTTAGTGCATAAGTCTGTACCCATTGCAATTAACAGCCCTGCTACGTGTCTCCCCCCCCCCCTCCAAACTTGAGCCATTTACCCCTTTGGTTCACATCTTACCAAGAGAGGCACCATCACTGATTTCTACCCTCTACACATCATCTGCGGTGCCTTAAGTTCTTAGTGCTGCCAGAAGGGAAAGAGCCTTTAGTAGTCAGCAGATAGATTCTAGAATCTATCTGTATGTAAATAGTCCAGACTTGAGAAGACAGGTGTATATCAGATGGAATGGTCTGACACACTCAGTTCAGCATCCTGTAGTCTACACATTATAAAAGAGATGAGCAAAGCATTCCACCTGTAGTAGAGTGGACTCAAGCGAGTGCTTGAAGGAGGTCAGGTCACAGCATGATTCCACCAAGTAAAGACTTAAGGGAGGAGAGGAGGAGAGTAAGAGCCTTGGGTCTTGGGGTGGATTTGCACTAACATCTGGCAAATGCTGTCAGTATCTAAGAAAATGTCCCTTCTAGGCTTTAGTCTAACAGCTAAGTACTTCCAGGAATCCAAAGGAACCCTCTTTTGGTTTTAAGGTGCAAACCTAAATGGAGGCCCTGAAGTTTCAAGTCCACACGCATGGTGTTCATTTGTACAGGGTCAGAGGGAAAATACCCATTAGCATAATGCATTAAAGCCCTACACTGCTAATTCACATCAGCATTTGGGGAAATATAAGGTCCTCTTGACACAGACTTCCAGAGTCAATCCACCCAAACAACTAGCTATAGTACCTTTGGCCAAGTCAACCCATCTTAAAATTCAGTTAAAATGGTGTCAGCTTTTCCAGATGACTCAGCATGAGAGTGTCACTAACATCATTTAACAGTTGCATAATTTACCTAAGAAAATAGCTGTCACTGGAAATGTCTCCAATGTTTCAGGTGTTCTAACTACTGCCATGCAGGCCCTCTTGCTTGGTATGTAAGCAAAAACTATAGTGTTAGGAGATCCTATCCATGTCCCACCAAAGGTGGCAATTGCATGAGATCCTCCTATAAATCATCAGGTGGCCTGCTGATGTGCCAGGTTTTTTTTTTTTTGTTTTGTTTTGTTTTTTTTTTTGGTCACATCTGGGAAGGGGATTTTTTTTGAAGGGGGGGGGGGTCCTCTGTAGACCAGGCTGCCCCACCATTGCGCAGCACAAGAGGGTATCTTAATGGAGAAAATGTTAAAGATTGGCCTGTAGACATGCCTGTGAGGGCATTTTCTAGGTCAGTGATTGATGTGGGATGGAAGAGCCTAGTCCACAGTGGGCAGTGCAACCGCTAGGTGGGTAGTTATGAATTGCATAAAAAGTGCTAACAAGCCATTGCAGCATCCTCTGTGGCTTCTGCCTCTGCTTTAGCTCCTGCCTCTAGGTTCCTGTCCTGACTTCTCTCAGTGATGGACTGAGACCTGAGGATTGTAAGCTAAAATAAACTCTTCCCTCCAAGCTGCTTTTGGTCTCGGCAGTAGAAACCTAAGAATTGGGTATTGAAAGCAGACCACTAAAACATTTGGTCATCTTCTCAGGACTGGGCCCCTGATTGGCTGGAGCTCATTTTGACAGGGTTTTTGTTTGTTTTGAGAAAGGATCTTGCCTCAGCCTCACTTGCTAGGATTATAGGCGTGACACCAAACAGCCTCATCTCAGCAATTTCAGAATAGTCACCATACTGGTATTTACTATAATTAATTTCATGCAATAAGATGCAAAACTTCTAACTGGCGACTTAAAACACAAGGAAAGAGTAAGTGGCTGGCTATTCAGGCCCTCCATGGTGATACATACTTCACATTGAAGTCTATGTTGTTGTACCTCTGACTGGAACTAGGTATGTTGACCTTGCTGGCTCTAGAACTCTTGGTAATCTGTCTAATTTGGCATCCTGAGTTCTTGAATTAAAGGCCTATGCACTAGGCAGAATTCTCAAATACTGGTTTTGTTTTTCCAGTTTAGGAATACAGAAATGTGCATCAAAGGGGTGGGGCTACTGTAGGATCTGGGCTGTGGTGGTGCACAGTGATTAAAGCTGGATTCTCTGACATATATAAGAAGCCCTGTCTTGAGAAATCAAAAAAAAAAAAAAAAAAAAAAAAAAAAAAAATAGGGAGGGAGGGCTACCATAGGGACTGGAGAAATGGCCCAGTGGTTGAGAGTACTTGTTATTCTTGCAGAGGACCTGGTTCAATACCTAGCATACATTTGGCAACTCAGCCAGTCTACAGTCCCAGGAGGATCCAAGGCCCTCTAGCCTTTGAGAACACTGTATGCACATGGTATATAGACAATAGCAAAACAGCCATGCACAAAACTTCTAAAAATGAAGAAAACATTTTAAAGGCTGCTATAGCCAACTGGCTATAGCATTTTTGATTTGGACCAACCTTGCAGAATTTGTTGAAACATGTAAAGCAACTACCAAAGACGCTGAAGAGCTGCAGAAGTCAGGGTTCCAGCTGGTGGCACAGCTGTAGCATGTATAGAAAACCTGAGTTCAGATCCCTAGCATCCATGTAAAAGCAGCCACTGCACATCACAAGGGGTGGGGACAGCATGGGACAAGTGGACAGACAGGATCCCTGAAACTCATTGGTCAGTTAGTGTAGCCAAATTGGTGAGCTTCAGGTTCTATGAAACCCTGTGTCAAAACACAAATCTAATGTAGAAGGCAGAGGCAGGCAGATCTGAGTGCTTTTTTTTTTTTTTTTTTTTTTTTTTTTTCTTTCATTTTTGTATTTCGAGACAGGGTTTCTCTGTTGCTTTGGAGCCTGTCCTGGAACCAGCCGTGTAGACCAAGCTGATCTGCCTGCCTCTGCCTTCCAAGCGCTAGGCCACCAATGCCTGGCAATCTCTTGAGTTCTTGGCCAGCCTGGTCTACAGAGTTCTAGGACAGCCAGGGCTGCACAGAGAAACCCTGTCTGTAAATAAATGAGTAAATACAGTAGTTGGACAAGCAGGTTAATTCCATATTCCACCAATCTTGAACCTGAGTTCAATCCCTGGGACCCACGTGGTGAAAGAGAACTAACCCCTGCAGATTCTCTGACCTTCATGTACAAGCCACACTGAAATACCAAAGAGCAATTAAGGCACCTGGTGTCAATCTCTGGCCTCCACACTTGTGCACATACACAAAGCTTTTTCTATGTCATAAAAAAAGCTCAGGTTCCCACTAAGACCAGATCAAACCTGGATTACCTATGTAGCAATACACGGGGGGGGGGGGGGGGGCACGACTCCTAAAGGAGCCAGGTTCTAGTTTTGCAAGTTCACCTTACAGCTTACTGTCTAGAAGCATGTCTGATATCTTCACATCTTAATATATGTTCAGTTTAAAACCAGTAAAATTAGGTAGTAAGTGGTTTGGGCTTGCAGTTCTGTTTTTCACCTTAGGAACACATTTCCTCCCTACAAAGCTTTTGCTGTCAAATAGCAATACTCCTGGTTTCCCTATACCACATAAAGTCAAGACACTCCATTAGTAGATACGGTTTTTTGAGACAAGGTCTCTCTTTGTAGCTCTGGCTGTCCTGGAACTCTGCAGATCAGGCTGGCCTCCAATTCATAGAGATCCACCTGCTCTTACCACCCTAGCGCTGGAATTAAAGGCGTGTGCCAGCACTGCCCAGCTCCATTAATGAGTGCAACTCACCTGTTTGCAAATAAACACAAGCACAAGTGAGGGGCAGGCAGCCCTCCCCTTTGTACAACTTTGCACAGGTGTGCATTGTTTACATTCCATGCTGTGCTGTGTGTGTATGTTTCACTGGTGACACCGTGGGAACCATGCCCACCTTGTGTACCATGGCACTCCTGCCCCAAACAAAATGTGAAACAGCTGGTCAAGAGCCTGATGCGTGTGTGCATTCCATCACTGCACCTTGTGGTTAGTCAGGGCATTTCTCAGTGAAAGCTGTGAGCAGCTGTTTCTTTTCTCAGAATTAAAAAAAAAAAAAATATGTATACACACACCAGAAGAGGGCACCACATCTCATTGTAGATGGTTGTGAGCCACCATGTGGTTGCTGGGAATTGAACTCAGAACTTTTGGTAGAGTTGCCAATACTCCTAACCTCTGAGCCATCTCTCCAATCCCCAGTATATGTGTGTATGTGTGTGCGTGCACACACGCGAACACACACACACACACACACACACACACACACACACACACACACACACCCCTAGGTTCTAATCATCAAAATTGGGAATCAACCTTAGTCAAAATCATGCCTTCTAAGTGCTACCACAGTAAAATAAACATGATTAATGATCAAGTTTCAGTATTTTAACCTCATAATGGTTCAAAAATTCCAAGAGTTCATCACTTATTCCAACATCCACTACTCAACACCTCAGGTGAGTGAGGCTCCCCAAACCACAAGGCTCTTCACAGATTTCAGTGCTTTCTGGCTCTATTCATTATCAATAATTCAGGCTTAAATTATTTATGCAGTTAGCCATTGGACTTTCACGAAAGCCACTCCAAAATCTATTACTGTGCAATGATCAAAACACCTGAAAAGTAGCAAAAGGTAAGGCTGAGTTCCTTTCACTAAGGCAGAGCATGGACTCCTTGGCTCCCACGTCTTCAACCAGCTCTTGTCACAGGACATCTGTCCATGTCGGGAGAGGCAGGTGACATCCTTGCTG